ACGCTACACAGGCTTTCTCGCTCCATACACGGCTATCGCTCAGAGTTCGGTGTACAAGGATCTGGGGGGCAGCTGACAGCTGCAGCCCTCGCCGCTGCTGCACCGCCAGCGGCATGCCTAGATTTGCCAACATGGCAGTACCACTGCCAATCATGGCATGTTACACGCCTCGTTTGTCAGCGACATCCGGAAGTAAAGCGAAGCATGAGGCAACAGAGACAGCAATGTTGCTGCAGCAGTAGCAGCAAGCTGGCTGGTGATAGCTCCATCAAACACGAACCAGCAGAAGCAAACTCTGCTTCAGAGTTCGGTCTTACTGTGGCCGGATGATGGGATGGTACATATTGTACCTGCACGCTGCGCTTGCAGCACAGCTTACCACATTACTACATATCCGATAGTCTGCAGATACGCTTGTGGATGACCATGCTGCTGACGATGGTCTAGAGTGTACAGTCAGGTTTCGAGGAGTCGTCTGGCAATCACGTTCGCTTGGGTGGGCGGCGAACCATGGCTTAGGCATTGACACCACGGTGCTGTACATAGCTGGACAAGGATTAGCGGCAGCCCCATTTCGCACAGATGTTCAAGGTTACCGGGCCTTATCCCCCAAAACCCGACCCAAACAGGGACTACTTGGCTGGTGCTCTTGGCATTGTTGATTGTTGACCACAGGAACAGAGTCCAGATATCCCAGTAAAACATCGAGGTTCAGGAAGCGCGTTTGCAGCGCGGAGCTCCAAAGCACAGCCCGCTACGGCTTCAGGAAGCGCAGAGCATTAAAGCTTTAGGCAGTCCGAAGCAGTGTGCATCAGAGCTTCACATGCGGCGCAGTGCGTCGGAGCATGAGCCGCGTTGTGAGCAACACGGGGATTCTCTCAAATGAAATCCAATGAAAGTCAAAGCGAGAGACCGGCCATGCTAATTCGGGTCTGGGTGTCCGTGGTTGCTGGACCGATGTGAGTCGCTCGTGTCAAAAGCACATCACCTCAGCATCGTAAACTGCAGAAAACAATGCAGGCGTCACATTCTCAACCTTCCTGAGTGGTGCGTGCCGTTTGGCTTGTGACAACTTGGGAGGGCTTGGCGAGGAGTCTTTAACGCGAGCTTGTGTTTCTGACTGCTATTCCACTACTGATCGAGGGTTGTGAAGTTCCATTTTCGAATAGAGCCCACACAGACCAACATACCTCGCACAGATATTCGGCTAGTGCTATTGTTCTGCTGCTGCCTGCACGACGCAGAATCGCCTGAGGTGCAGAAGCAGCTGATTGGCGAGCGTCTGTTCCCGGCCATCTCCAAGTACCAGCCAGAGCTGGCAGGTAAGATCACAGGCCCAGCAGCGGGTTTGGAACGGGTAGACGCCATGAAGCAACGCACCGCCCGCTAGGCATGATGCTCGAGATGGACAATTCTGAACTGTTGATCTTGTTGGACAGCGAGCCCCAGCTCAAAGCCAAGGTTTGCTGGAAGAAACTGGGCAGCGATTTCAGGCCTTTTTTACGAGCTCCCGCGTTGTGCAGGTGGACGAAGCAATGCGCGTGCTCGAGCAAGCCAAGCCGCTGGAATTGCAAATCAAGCTTGGTCACGAGGAGTAGCCCATGCTTTGGCGTTTGAACTCGCGAGTGCGGTGTTCGTATGTCCAACACCCATAACAACGGACCTGATTTGTGTGGGTCGGTTGGGCAGCCTCTGATCCGCTTCTCCCAGGTAAAGAGAACAGCGCCCGGGCCTGGGAATACGTTTCCGAAATAGTTTGCAAGACCGGCGAGTCAAGATTAGGAGCGCCTTTCAGGAAAGCCGAATGCGCTGCATCCAGGACGAAGTGGCTCTTGTGTAGTAGCCAGAAGTTCTCCATACAGGCCCGGACTGGGCAGTTTGTCTCGTCGTGATTGCAGGAGAGAGATGACGAAGTGACATATGTGACAGCTTTGGCAAGACCTTCCGGCACCCTTGACAGCCTTCTTTCTCGAAGTGCCAAAAGATGTGCTCCCTGATGCGGACGGTGTTAGCTTGAGAGTCTCCATGATTTCGTCACAGTCGCACGATTGCACAAAGAGGTTGCACGGGACAGATGTATCCAGCTATCAGTGAATGGCACGGAAAGATGACTGTTCCGGGGAAGCGTGACTCCTCCAAGCACGCAGAACCATGAGATTGGCTTAGTATACTTCTTTGGGCATGCTGGCCCGCGGCACGTGTGAAGTGTGGCAACTGCTCTGAATCACAGTCTAACCTTGAAGGATCCTCGTCAGTGCTCCGGGCAAGGGCTTGGAAGATTACGCAGACCTTGGGGAATCCGAAGGCAGAGACTTCACACCATGGCCGCCATAGGCATTTGGACTGACAGGCCCTAATTTGTGGGCAGCATGGGATTTCCAATCGCACCTTTTTTGCCTCGTGTCTCACCCATATCTGCTAGGCAGCCGCGAGCTTTAGGCCGAAGAGCTCATTTTCCGACTACAGATGCTGACAGAGCGGTGATTCCGGCTGGCAGGTGGGTGCTAGATGTCCAATATGTCTTCTCTACCGGGCTGGGGCTGGTGTGGCTTGGTACCGCACCAGTGCAGATGATCGCGGGTTTTCAAGCCTTTACTTGGAGCTCGCAGTGCACTCGCCGTGCCTTTCTATAGCGCCTTGTAGCTACAACCATGAGAAAACAGGGCGAAGTGCACTGAGTGACC